CACCCTTCGGATGCTGCCATGTTTAACGCAGCGCGGCGGGGGGTGGCACATCCCTCTGTGTGTGTCTCCCCCGTCGTCCCTCCACCCCGGGCTAGAAAGGGGTGCCCTTATTTCACCCCAGGAAGAGACCCCGTTTGGGATTCGGAGCGCGAAACTCCTTGCCGCGAGATGCTGCTGTTATTTCTCTCGGGGTGAAAGGGTTGGCTGTGTTGGGAAAGCAAAATAAAAGTGACGGGGTGGCTGCCCTGCACGTACATTTGCAAGGAGGGTTTGCTGCGACTGTGTTTTCCAGAGCTTTCTTTGGCAGAGCCCGCCGAGGCCGGGGTGGAGGTGGCAGAGAGCAAAGCTGGTGGGGTTTGTTGTGACAAAAGTGTAATCGCAGCCTTTTTGCTTCTCCCCGCACATGTGAATGCCAAGGTGTTCACGCCGTTACAAGAACGATTGATTTTCTTCCCTAGGGAGATTTAGAGGTGACACCCTGCTATCAAACAGGTAGTAAATTCACGCAGATCCAAAATGAAGCTGGGGTTTGACTCCCCTGTCCCACCGGTGACTGTGTGGCACGGCAGAGCTGGCAGTCGTCGTCTTTCCCACGTCCCCGGGTGGGAAACGGTTCGAGCAGTGAGGTTTTGGGTTTTTGCTGTAGTTCGGCGTCGGCTCTGGCTCTTGCTGGGGATGCGGGGGATGCTGTGGGCTCAGGTGCATCCGGGCGTGACGGTGGTGGTCGGCTGAGACGTGAGAAACTGGCCAGGGGTTTTTGGAGGGTGCGGGGAAAGGGTTTTCCAGAGTGACACAGTCCTTTAATCTGCTTCGGACAGCCGTGGTTTTTGACTAAGCTTTTTGTCTGGTCTTCTTCCAAGGTCTGGGCTCACGTCAGTGACGGCAGGACTAAAGCAGAAAGCTGTCCTAGAGCTGGAGAGCTGCTGTGTTGCTCTCTCCCACTGGTGCAAAGGATAATTAGGCTTATTTACTTGCTTATTTAAATGCAGATTGCTCACCCTCCCATCCCTCCACGTACCATCCCTCCTGTCTGCTCCAGCAAATTCATACGGCCGCCGTTGGGGCTGTGCTGGGTTTCCTCCCCAAGCAAAGGGATTGGGTCAGCTCAGATGTTGAACCCAAGAGGAACTTGAAGGCTTCAGCCCTCCCTGTGTTGCTCCTCATCTTTCGGGACATCCTTAGGGCTTCTCCTTCCCCCGGGGTCCTCATCTGGTCTCCCACTTCCACGTTTTTCTTCCTTGCAGCATACTGCAAGAGAAGTGTTTGCTCCGACACTCAGCCCTGGAACATAAGCGCCTCTTCATTAATGCATAAGTGATGTTGTGGCTAATTGTTCTCATTTTCTGTTCAAATTAGGCATCTTTTAAGTGTTGTTTCTTGTTTGGGTTCTTTTTAAAAGCCAAATTCTCCAAATCCCTATTACTATCAAGAACCTTGCTGCTCACAGGAGTCCCTGCTGGGTGGGTTTCGAACATCTCCAAGGATGGAGACTCCACAGCCTATACGGGCAACCTTTGGGGCCACCCAGCAGCCAAAATTGTCGCCTAGTGACCTTTTGCCAGCGAGGAGCAAGGATGGCTCGCATGGGGCTTGTCCTCCATGGCCTTTGCTGTGCTTGTGCGTGGGTGAAGGCTCCCCAGCAGCAGAGAGCAGGGGGAGATTTTCTTACAGTCCTCCGCCACCACTGCAAATCAGCAAAATGTGATGCTCCAAGGCTGGGAAACGATTCCTTGGTGAAACCAAAGAGCTCACTGGTAATGGTTTTTAAATTCACTCTGTTGCCCTGAGCGTTATTTACAGGTGAGGGAACATGGGGTAGAGTAAGCAACTAGCCCAAGGTCATCGGGGAAGTCCACGCTAAAGGGAGGAATTCCCTTTTCTAACCTCTTTATACCAAGACAAATTAATATTGCAGAGACCGTGTGCCTGTGACCTCCTCCCCGGGTCTGCCCGGACCTACAGAGCAGAGGCGATGCCTGGCGGTGATGGCCATGGAGGATGGAGGCTGCTCCCGGCCCGAGGGATGGATGATTTGTTTGCATTAGCGTTTGAGCTCGGAAGCCTTCAGCGAGGCCAGTGCAGCAGTAGCAGGGCTGTGCATGTCTGCAAGAGGCTGCCTGTGCCCAGAGATCCTGCAGAATAAATGGGATTTGTTTATATTATTTGTATTATTTATTTATATTATAGTATTTATATTTATATTTTTATGTATTTATTAAACATTCATTTTTATATAGGATTTGTTTATGTACTTATGCCCAAATAAAGTCCCTTGGCAAACCAAGGGAAACAGTGGGGGGACATGCTCATTCCTAATGGTTTCCAAAAGTTAAGTGACTTCCATGGCAGGACCTGGTTTGAAGCCATCAATAGCAAGTAGGTTTGAAGGTGATCAAGTCGTGCGTGACGGCATCTGCTTGCCAATTAGTGCCCTGCGGTTATTCCTCTTTGGCTGTGGGGAAACTGAGGCAGAGGTGCTGAGTCACCTACCTGAGGCCCTACGTAGTGCATCGGGTCTGGGGTTGGGGTCAGAGTGCAGCTCCGGGGCATCATTCTCCTGTTTGCTGTTGTTCTTCTGGGGTCGAGGTGTGCTGGAAGCCACCGCTGTGACCGGGTGTGACACAGGTTCTAGCACCGAGGTGCTTCTTGCCTTAGTTTCCCTCCCCAAAGCACGTGCTGCCCAAGCAGCGCTACAGGGGCAGGTTGCATCTCCCTTCACCCCCCTCTTCTCTGCAGTCCTTCTTCTCGTGGTGGCCTGTGGACCCTGAGGGACCAAGTAAGGACCAGGGCATCCTTCAGCGGGTAGGAATACTAGGTTTATGTGGCTCACCTGACTTTTAGATAGAGGTCAGGACCCAGCCTGGGGGGCTTTTCAGCTCCTTGGAAAGCTGTTGCTGCTGGATGGAGCCTTTTGTTTGGTTTTTTTTGTTCAATTCTCTGATGTCCTATAGGAGGATCTGGTGGCATCACTGAGGGCTTTATCTGTGTTGGGCACAGAGGTGGCCCTGGTGACCCCGGTATTCGAGTGCTTGGGAGGGGATTTTGCCCCCTGAACTCCTGGAAGGGATGGGCAGAGCTCTTCTCCCTGCTGCACCGAAGGATGGAGGGGGCTGGGGTTGACCCTGGGGGTCTGGGACCAGAGAGAATAGGTGACAAAATGTGCAGACAGTGGCATTTGCTGGTGGAAGTGGAACGATTAGAAGCACATTTGGCAAAAATGCAAGGAAGAATGAATGTTTTCCATTTTTGTTTGAAAATGATGGAAAAATGTTAGTATTAGGTGTTTCCTGGGTGGTGTTTTTTTTTTTCCTCCTTCTTCTTTGTCTTGCATTCTTCTCCCTTTGTTACCTTTTTTCCCTGAAGAGAAAAATATATAAAAGAGAAAGGGGAAATTTCACCCCCTTTGCAGAGTGTCAAGATGAGTAGTAAGGCGATGAATTTTCTCCAGAGAAGTAATATTGTGAAACCTAGGTTTCAAGTTCTTCACCAAAAAGAGATGATTTTTTTTTTTTAATCAAAGCAATTATTTTTTTTTTCCCCCACCAATTTCCTTTCCTATCGGCGGAAAGGAAACAAGAAAGGCTTCAATGGAAAATTTTGGACTGCCTCTAGTATTAATGAATTGCCTGTTGCTAATTGTATTGTCATTCATCTCAAGCCCTGGAGGTACTAAAGATGTGGAGCAAATGAGAATTTGTAGTAGCTACGGAGATGAATGAGTCAGCGCTGGAGACTTGCTGTGTATTTTTCGGAGATATAGAGGAGCTAATTTAGGGAGGGATGTCTGCGCAGGAGGGCTGGAGCAAGCTACGTGAGGGCGGGGGATTCGTACTCCATCATTATAGATAAGGTAGGGCTGGAAGGACCTCCCGAGATCATCTGGTCCACATCGCGTTTCTGGGGAAGGCGATGATACATCTAGACCACGCTAGGTTGATTTTACCTAACCTATTCTTGAAAATCTCCGGTGGAGGACATGTCCCATCTTGGTGAGACACTCGGTAACACTGCTTGTGCTGTCAGGTGTGCCAAACTTGGTGGGAAATTTTCCATTGCCTTCTGAAATTTCTGATCAGATCCATAGGCTGGGTCTGCACTAGTAAATTAAACAGTTCCAGGACATGGGGGCACGATCATCTACACTCTTCAGTTGTTGAAACAGACCCTAGCACTCTCCCCAGGCTCATTTGGGAGTGGGCA